GCTTTGGTAATTTGTAAATTGGTTCATAATTCGTTTGTTTGCTCTGAGGTGGTCCCACCCGCGTTCTTCTCTTACATACATCTTCTTGGCTACTTTTTCTTCGGCTTCCACCGATTCTCCCGCCCGTCCAGCTTCCACTTTCTTTTCCCCTTTGGAGACATTGCGTTCGTTGGCTTCTTTTGTCTGTTTTTCGCTGGTACAAAAAAAAAAAAAAAAAACAAAAAGGGGGAGGACGGTTGGTTTGGACTGGTAAGTATCTAAAAGCTAACAAAATGAAATGGGCACAATCAACTAACTGTAAATACTTTTTGTTTTCATCATTTTTTCGCTTCTTCTTCTTTTTTTCTCTTCTTTGCGCTAAGTCGCGCTATAATTTTCTATTTCTCGATTTCTCACGAGACTTTATCTCATTGTCTCCACGCCTCGAAATGTACAAGCAATGTTTGATTTGCATATTTTCGACACTCGCTAATTAATAAACGACTAGCGGGCAAAATAAACGAACGCAAAAGACAAACGAATTCTGCACTCAGGCGGAATGTTAAAGGTCAAAAAGCTTCCGACAAGGCAATTAGATCATCCGAAACCGATTTTGTGAAGACTTGGAAACATATTGCGTAATGGGATTTGGTTGGGCACTTTGAAAACCAGTCCTAAAAATCATTGCACACATGATTGTTAAGGCAAACATTCAAAATTGTAGCATTTGATTTAGCGAATTTAGTTATCTATTTTGTAAGATTTATTTCTTTCATCATTTGTATAAATGGACTAAGAACCTGTTCTACAATATCTGATTAAAGTTAACAACAAGTTAAGTTTAACCAGAAACAAAAAAAAAAATAGTCATATACGAAAACATAATAATTTATATTAAATGATGTTTGCAATTTTACATGGATTAGAAAAAAACCAAAGCTGTCATAAAAATTTAAAATTAAAATGGGATTTTTAAAAACAGTTTGAAACTATTATAAATCAGTTTTATTATAATTATGCAACCAAACAACTGTAAACATTAAGTTACAGCTCTGTGGCGAATCTCCCAATAACATAACTTTTCTGCTGCGATCCAAGTATTTATTCTTTAAAAGTAGAACTAACCCATAAAAAATCAATAAATTGCAGTAACCAAATGTTGCCTTTCGCTCGTCGGCAAAGTTTTTAAATGTGCAGTGCGGAAGGAGGTCAGCGAGAAGGTTAATGCCAATTTACGTCAACAAATGCCCAGACATGCCATCTAAATCGAGCCAGCCGAGCCGATCCAAGTCAAACCAATTCGATTTGCAAGCAGAGCGAGACTCTTTCTCCCAGCCCCTCTGTCTCTTTCGCTCTTTTTCTCAGCTCCAGAGCCGGAGATCAGTGAGAATAAGTCAAATGCTTGGGCAATAATAAATAGAAGGGGATCGGAGAAAAGTGCGGGCAAACGAGCAAAACGAGCAGAGTCCCAAGAAACCCCTTTTGTCCTCACCAATTTCCAACTGGTAAGAATACCCCCGGTAATCCCCTCCATTTCGCTATTTCTCCGTCTGTCAGCGAACCTTCTTCGATCGGCAAACAAGCCGAACAAAACGCTTCCTCAACTGCCTAGCGGATTTACAATGGATGCGCAGCCAGGAGGAGGTGAAACGGGGGACGAAGGAGTGATCCAGGAGGAGGGACTGCACTGAAAGAAACCTTAAATAAAAAAGGAGAAATAAAAAGAAAATATACATTTCTTGTCTAACTTATGTAACTAAATCCACAATACATATTGCGAAATTAAGTCCAAGATTAAGATTGATGTTGATATTACTTATATTATCTTTAGCTATTTAAAGTAAATTGTCCTAATAAGCTTCAAACTTGAATAGTTCAAATAGTTTTGCACTCATATTTAAAATCAAATTGTGTTAAGTTAATGTTACCTAGCTACAAAAAATTGTGTTTATGTTAATTCTATTTAAATAGAAATTTATTTAAGGTAAATTTAAGGCTGATTTAATGTAATGCAAAAAAAATTAAATGCATTTTTTCAGAACATTTTTGATTTCAATTGTTAAATTCAATTGAATACTTCATCGTAATATTGTTTTTACCAAAATCGTTTTTTGGACTGAAAAAATGCGATCGTTTGACTTCTTTTATATTTCAACCTCTGTCTGGACTACCAAGTAGATAACTAATTGAACATGGTTGTTTGACGTTTTAAGAGTAAATATCTTGAAAGCTATCTATATTTTACCTTATTGCTTTTCAATTTTTTCCAGTGTATCCCAACCAATTGGGAGCAAGAGGGAAGCAAGTGGTGTGCGCTGGATTAGAGGCAAAGAGTGCGTCGCGGAGTGGTATGGTTCGGTATAGTGTAGTGTACGAGGATGGAATGCTTCGCTGGTCTCGGGGGCCAGAAATTGGCAAACAATAAAAGCCGTCAAAAAGTGCAGCCAACAGCAAATAGGAAAAGCAATAGCCAGAGAGAAATAGAGGGGCGACGAGTGGCGGGGGGGCAGCGAAAGAAAAAACAGTTTGAAAAGTTGATTGTTTAGTTGGAGTTGGAGCATAAAAAATGTTAGCTACACACAACAACGAAAAAACGAAGCAGAAAACCAAAACAACGGCGTAGGAAAAAAGCACAAAAAAGTGGAGCGTCGATTGGAGTTGTAGAGAAAATGGTTTTCCATCACAGTGAGAACAAGGATGGGTTCGGGGTGGGGAAATGGCGGAGATCTGGGGGTAATTCAGTTCGGCCTGGCCAGTGCATCGAGAACGGGACCCAGCTTTCTCAGGAGATGTCTGAACCTTGGCTCAGATACAAGTATGCATGTATGGGCTATTATCATATTAAACAACTAACAGGGCCAGGGGAATAAGTAAAGGAGATGATTTGAAATCGATATTTTGATGCTAAGAGGTGGTAATAAGAGTCATCTTCCAAGTTGAACATGGTTAATAAAAACACTTAACTGAACTATCTAATTCTTAAGCTCTAAAGGAAATTGAAAATTTATCTTTTTAATATAGGCTTTTCACGGATGTTGATCAAATATTCTGTAAGGCTTTATTTCGATATTTTTGAATAATAATTATTATTTTCAAATATCTTTTGAGGATTATTAAGTCTAGTTGATGTTTTGATTTGGAAAATTCAATGTATTCCAATATAACTTTATACAAATTGCATGAACAAAGATTTTATTGTTTGTATTATTAATAAAAAAAAAACAAGAAATTGTTGTGAGAAATATACAAGCTACACAATTTCATTGTAACAACTTAAAAAAAAATTCGCTTTTCAATACTACGATCATTGATTTGGCATAACCGTACCTAAAAAGTTGAGATCTTCATCAACAAGGATAGATCTTCAGTCACGCTGTCATCTCTAGCTGCTTGTGATTTGGTGAAAGATACATTTCAGCTCTTGTCAGAAAGCAGGCACTGGCCAGGTCTTGGGCATGGAAAAACAGACAAATGTGACGGAAGAAAGCGCTTGGGAAGGAGCTTCCCGGGGTTTCGAGAAGTGAGTTGTGGGGAGTGGGCAAATGCCGTTGACTGACTGACATTTTTTGCGCTTTTTTCATATATTTTATTTTTGATGACGACGCAGGCCGAAGTGTGGCCTGACAAATGCATAAAACTCGAGGCTTGTCGACAGATATACATATACAATATCGGGACAGGGACGGAGGCAGAGGAAGATCATGAAGATCTCCGAGAGAGTGGGAACTGAGATGCAGTGGGGCTCAAGTTGAAGTTGAAGCTGGGAGCATTTTGCCAGTGATTTGCTGCTGACAACAACAGCAACGAGCACGGCAACAACCACACAACAACGACGGCGACGACGTTGTAGCAATTGAATTTTTGCACGTCGCCCATGAAGTTGTTTGTTTGCCTGGCATCGCTTGGCTCCTCAAAAAACACCCTTCCCCGCCACTTTTCGTACCCCCTTACACTGCAAAAAAAAGATTACTGCTAATATAATATTTTAAGTACAACTGAAAAAAAATGTAGAAAATTGGGTCTTAACAGGAGAACAAGAGCTTAAACTACATTTCTTCAAAAAGGTCTAAAGCTCACTTTTTTGTTGTCAACCACATTGATGTTATTTTTATTTTTACAAAAATGTATGATGTGTTTAGACCTAAATTTTAAATATTTTCAAGAAATCTATAAAATTTAGAATAAAATCCGGCTACTCTATTGTATGTATTTATAAGTTATTTTTATTTTACAGTATAAATATCGTTCAATATATTTTGAAATGTTGTGTTAAGGCTCAGATTTGAATCTTAGATATACCAGTTAACTTAGCAAACAATTCTTTCCAAAATAGTTATATATTTTTACCAGTGCACTGTTATTGTTGCTGCTGCACTTGGATGAAAAATTGTAGAAGCTGTTAACGAAATTCAGCAACAACAACACATGGCCAACTGTTTGTACGGCTGATTGTGTTTGTTGTTGCTAGCTTTGCGCATATTTATGTTGGCTTTGAGTTACCGTTAGACGGTTATATGGCGGATTACATTTGGCGCTGCTGATGGCAAATTATCTGTGCCACAGTCGAACAAGAGTTAAAAAAGTTGGGCGGTCCGCGGGGGAAGAGTCAGAATGTGGACGTGGATGTGGCCACGATGACGATGATTGAGTTTGCTGCTTGCAAAAATAGATAATGGAGCTTAACTCTTTCCAGCTGTCCATCTCTCTAATGCATCCTCTAATTTATGTATCTTTCTCATTGACCATCAATCTGTGGCATTCTTTCAATCATTCCGAATCTATAAATCTATTTTATAATCTTGCTTAGAGCTTGATTGCCTCCCATGGCATTCAAAAATATAATAAATCTTCCTACAAATTTATTAGACTTTTTTCAATTTTAAAACGATTTTTCTTAATTGCATGCACTTAAGTATATAACTTTTCAAATAGCATTTAATAACTGTTATCCGTTAATTACATTTTAAGAGAAAATAAAAGTCATATTATAAATTCTTTGATTAAAAGCAATAACGGCTTACCTATAACTGGGTGAGTTTGGACAACAATTTGTAAAGAAATCGTGTATTTTGTTGTTTAATTTTTTAAACCATCTTGTTTACTTTCAGTAGCTTTACTCTCCTAACTTCCCTTGAAAACTTAATTTACCATTGTTAACTAAATCGTATTGATTAGTCAAACAGTTTGCTTGTCATAATCTATTTAGTCAACCCTTATGTAACCGAAAAACCGTAAAATTTATATAAACTGGTGGAAAATTCGATTTAGAACCACTATCCAGAGAAATTTAGGCCAGGTAACTTCCTTAAAGTCAAGATGCTACCAATCTTCATGAATCTGTTGCTATTTATGCCTGCAGCATTACTTAGCTTGATACATGTTTATTTAAACATGTAAACAATTGGTTGAGTTTATAGTATTTACTCATCCTGAATATTGTAACTGCACTATGAATAAAGATTTTAAATAATTATATAAATTTGTGTTTTCATGGGTTGTTTTTTTTTTTATTAAAAACATTTAAGAAAAATACAGATATCTAGGGTTATTAATCCATAAGCTAATAGTTTTGCATTGATTTTTAAAGTAAATAACACTCCTTGCTATTGTTTTTTACATATTTAAAAAAAATTAAGTTTATTTTACCAAAGTTAAATAAATATTGAAAGCATAAAACGTGTTTTATTTTTGGTTTTGACAATTTCAATATGCTTGGTTTCTTGGTTTTTTTTCCTGTTAAAATGTCTTAGTCCTCCTGTCTTTTAACAACACCATTCATAATCCATTCACTTTTCCATGTTTAATTGCGGTCAATTGCCAGTGGTAAGATTGGGATTCCCATTCCCATGCATGCCCTAAAAATAGCAGACAGACCTCCTGGGGGATAACCAAGCCAGGGCTAATGATAGGCACCCCTCTCTTCTGTTTTTCTGTTTTCTGGTGTGAACATCTCGCTCCGTTCAACTTTCAACTTACATTTTTTTGCGACTTTCGCAGCAAGTGACATACAAAACGTACAAAAATAACAAAAAGGAAAGGCCTCTACTGCGCCGATTTAATGCCCCTTCTCCGTTCCCCTCCCCCACCCATCTGACTTTTTGACGCTCATTTCGCACAAGACTTTCAAATGGCTAAGACTCAAACTCAAAACTGAAACTCTGGCCAAGCCAAACGGCGAGTTGACTTGGCCATTGGCGATCTTTGCAGTGAGCTTCGAAATTCGAAATTCGAGTATCGAGTATTTGTTTCTGACTCTAAGCCCCGGACTCTGATGTTCAGGCGACTCGTAAAACTATTGGCCATTATTATCTTCTGGCTCTGTCTGTTGGCCGCTGTTGTTGCTGGTAATTGTTGCCGCTTTTCGGCTGTTGTGTTTTATTGTTTTTATTTTTGTTTTGCCCGACGTCGGCATCTGAAAAGAAGGTCGCACAAGGTGGTCCACCGTCCACATCGAGGTGAGCCGTTATCGTTACCCTAGTTTTTGGGATCCGGATCTTGGGTAATATACATGTATCAATCAGAAGAAAAATGACCCCAAAATAACCATAAATACTTTGAAATTGATAATAAACCCTAATTTAACTGACTGAAATATTATTATATGTATAATATTAAGAAAATGAAGGTACTAAGTACTAAGGAATCAATGTGACTAGCGCAGTAATAATAAGTGTAATACTTTTATCGCTAGAATAGTAACAACATAATATATTATATTAAAGAAAATCAATCATTTCTATCTTAAACCATTTCAAACTTAACGAAAACAAAATCTGATAAACCTATATCAAATAGTTGTATACTGTTTGCTTTAACTCTTTATTTAATATAAATTAATAAACTTTTTCTTGCTAGAGCATTTTGCATTCGTTGCTCCCTTCTTAAAGCTTTCATCTTGTATTATTTTCGTTTCATTTGTCTTTAAAATTAATGTGCCAGATTTGAAAACCTGTAACGTCAGCTGGCTCAGTGTCCGACGCTCAGTCACAGTTTCTGTTTGTGATTTTCTGGCTTAGAGCGGGGAAGTTGACGAGTTAACTGAAAGAAACTAAACTGAAAGAATGGCTGGCCAGCTCTCCACCATTTTTTCACTCCGGCAGCTGCAATTGATTTTCACTTGGATTTCTTTTTCAATTGGGCGATCACCTGAGAAGAGAGGAGTGATGGCAAACTTGCCCCGTTTTCCTTGCCAGTCAGTCGCTCACTTTTTGCTTGGCATTGATGGGTTAATCGGGAGGTGGGGGGTTAAGGTGCTCTGCCGTCACACGCTGATATTTGTCGCTATTTTTTTTTGGCTGCCATGTTTTCGGTTTTGTCTTCATCGCAGCTATTTTTTCTTTGGCAAATTGCTTTGGAGTCGGCGTAGGTGCCTCGCGAATTTGGGCAAACAAATTTTATTTTCTGCATAATTGAATTTGTTTTCGAGGTCACCCAAAAGGCAGGCAACGTTTAATAAACTGAACTTTTGTGCTTTGCGAAATCGATCGTTGGTTTCTCGACTTTACTTGGATTTCGTAGTCGATCGCAGATCGCTGCAGTTGTCAATCAAAAAGTCAAATTCCAAGCTGCCAAAGGTGCGCAATTTGTCTTTCAACTGCAATTGAGACGAAAAGCGAATGTGACATGGTCAGCAGCAGCAGCAGCACCAGTAGAAAATGCAATAAAGCAATCGAAAATCGGCCGAGAATGCAATGGGATCAACATTGCGAATACGCAGCGTGTGTCTCGGTGTCTCTGGCCATCTGATATAGCCGGTAATAAGCCGGTTGCATGGCCTCAACAATCGACAATCGCCTATTGACGGTGCAGGAATGCCGCCCGAATATGACAATCGCCAATAACGCTAACTACATGTCCAACTTAAGTGATTAACCCATTGGGAACCTATTTAATAGGGAGATATAAATAAATAATAATTTTAAATTAAAGTTAAGGTTATCAATGTAGTAAATTCAGTTTAAAATTTAAAACTTTTGTGAAAATTCTAGTCAAAACTTAACAAAAAAAATGGTATTCGTAGTTGATTTAAGTTTTAAATATCATTTATATCTCGCAAATCAATTTTTAATCTTCTGCATCAACCAGCTACTTTTAAATCCTAACTTAATTAATTAATTCCATTAAAATTTAATAAAAAGTCCCATTAAATTCAATAGCCTTTAAAATCTCAAGAGAGTTACACATTTTTCCGTTAATCCCATTAAAATCAACTTCCTTTCCACAGACCAACAATTTTAACCAATGGGTTAATAGTATCAGTGTTGCTCTGACAGTTTACAAGTTATTCAAACGCAAATGTTTAACAATAAGCAAATAATTCTCTGTGCACATGTCACACAAATCACACAAAGGCCCAGCCAAAGGGGGGAAAAACCGAGGGATTTTGCGGGCCAACTGGCTGGCCAACTCCCAAGGGGCCAACTCCATTTCGTCTAACTCCATGCCGGCCAAAAGGCATTCAATCGCTATGCAAATCAAAGCGAACTGCGTAATGAGCCGCAACCGTAACCAAAAACGAGGCGGGAATCGAAGTTGGGACTCAGTGCCCCGCTGTTTGCCACTTGACTTACATGTGTTTGCCGCTGATTGCTTTAATGGGTCACCACTGTACTGGTTGAGACACATGTGTGTGCTAACGGTAAACTGGTTTCGATGACATAGCGCATAACACCCCAGTATAGTACTCGTACTCCATGGCACTCGAATGCCCGCACAACTCACACAATCCGACAAATGCCAATTGCCCAATGTTTCGCGCTGACCCGCTCGTCGCTATTCGATGGGCTCATGACATATTAGCAAAGGTTTGTGCCAGCCATTTATGAGCTCCAATGGTCGCTGATTTCATTTAGGGCCAGGCCAAGCTAATCGCAAGTATTTCTGGTTGCCGGTCGCCAGTCAAACGTTGCAACATCCATTGCGGTGTGTCACGATCCTGAAGGCGAGGAAATCAAACGAAATAAAAGTCGACTGAGGCCCAGCATATGTGAGGGAAACTCTAAAAAGAAAATGTTTGCAGTAGCCTGAACACTCTCTAAAAAATTATTTGAATTTTAATTGGATTATAGGGTGTAATAATTATAATAATATTTTTTATTACTATCCTGCACAATCACCAAAGCTAATGAGTTGAAAACCAATTTGTAAAATATAATTTATGGTAAGCTATTACATGTTAAAGATTAAGCAATTTTATAGTTTTCTATGTTTGTACATTTTTGATCAGTTTAATACAAATACAATAAACAGAATTTTTAGTACTTTGGATTGGAATATGCTTAGCAAAATATCTAATAATTATTTCCTTCTCAGTTTTAAAAACTTAAGTTTCTTAGAAAAATTTTTAGTGTTATTGCTCAATTATTTAAATAAAATGCTTAATTTAATTGAAAATACAAATTAAAAAAATTAGACCTAATTAAATTTCCTATCGCAATCACACATAATCTTCTTTTAAAACAAAAACGTTTTCAATTTTAAATCTTTTGTTTCGAGTGAAATTAATTTTTGAAATTTATTTTTTGCACTACAGAATCAAGTGTTGAGTTAAATTAAAATACCCCCTTCAAGGGTATTGAAAAAACTCAGCACAATCTGTAGAGGTGCCATGCGGAGTTATGGTTATGTGAACAAGCAACAACAAGCAATGCAACAACTGCAACTAGCAAAGACAATCGGTGGCAGCGGCAGCAACAAATATCGCATTGAAAATCGCTGCAAATGAGGCAGCGTGAAAAATGCGCGACTGTCGAAATTGTTTTTTTTTTTTTTTTTTTTTTTTTTGGTAAAAATATCAGGCAACTTGAAAAGGGGTTAGTGGGGGCGAGAGGGTAAGCACTTGCAATCGGTTAAGCATTCACATGGGAAAACGACGGGCAGCAGTCAACAGTCAGCAGGTTGCCGAGCCCAGCAGCAACTGCAATATCAACCGCAGCAACTGCAACTGCAACAGCAGCAACTGCAGCAAAAGGCAGCGACAGCAGCAACATTTTGACAGCTCTTGCAGGAATTGCAACTTTATTTCACTTTTCGACCAGCAAATATTTCCAACAATATTTCCACCAAATGTCAGACTGGCTAAATGTGACGTAAGAGAAGGG